GAACAATATGGATATGGTAAGGGAGGGGGCTGGGGGGAAGGAAATAGGGGATTTAGGATAAAATAAGGAAAGGTACAATCACATATTTTAACAAACAAGCAACTGTCCGGATCATAATAATGAGTGAATATCTTAAAATAAGCTTAACTATAGCCATATTACAAACAGTTAATAAACAAATAAATTCATCTATTAAATAAACACGAATAATAAAATCTCAGAAAATCCTAACTATCAACATTAATAGATAAAAATCACCAAATCACTAAAAATAACAATGTCATCTACCTATTAATTAGAACTTGGTTAGAAATCAATCATCTATTCTGAGATGTTAGATCCTTTTCAAATTCTAATGTGTCTCTAACCATTGATAAAATTTATTCCAAGTTATAAAATAAACTGAATCAGCTTTTTCTCTCATCTCCGATGTTTCTGCACACTCTAAGATTTTAGTAATTATATTCTGGTCAGATGGTAGATTCTTGGGTTTTTTCTTGATAACATTTCACTTTTCATCCAAGAAGCTTCTTCGTGTTTCATATTTTGTGCATCATCTTGACATGTACATATTTGTGGAGGAGAAAATAAAAATAAACCATACCCTTGGCTTCTTAGTGAATCTATTGCAGCTGTTCGTTTGGCTAGAGTCCAAAGGGACGGTGCTATACTTTCAACACTGGAGAACCCTTAATCAATTTACACTTTAAAGATTATTTTTTTAAAAGATCTGTAGAACTGAAACTGAAGCAGGTTCAGCTTCCTCTGTGAGCCGTGGTGGCGCAGTGGTTAAAATACAGCTATGAGGCCAAACTCGGCCCACTGCCAGCAGTTCGATCCTGACCAGCTCAAGGTTGTCTCAGCCTTCCACCCTTCCGAGGTCGGTAAAACGAGGACTCAGGTTGTTGGGGGCAAGAGGCTAACTGTGTAAAACTGCTAAGAGCAGGAGTCCCCAACCTCCGGGCCGTGGACCCGCACCGGGCCGCGGCATGCCAGAAACTGTGCCATGCAAACGAGTGCAGCCTCATCCGCGGGATGCAGGCAACACACGAAACCATGCCCCCCTCCTGTCCGCGGAAAAACCTCTCTCCACAGAATCGGTGCCTAGTGCCCAAAAGGTTGAGGGCCACTGGCTTAAAGAGTACTTAAAACACTATAAAGAGGTAAGTGCTATTGCTATCATAATAGCAGAATCTTTTTTTTCCAAGGGCAAAAATGCCCCCTGGTAAGTGCCATACAGCCCTGCCCATCCATCCATCCTTCATCCTGCTGTTCCCTGTTGGCTGAGGACAGGACAGCCCTGGATTATCAGCAGAGACGTGGCTGAAGAAAACTGATTTGGCCCAAGGATGAGATGGTTGTGGCTTCAGAAGTCGCGTCTGGGCTCTGTGAAGAGGTGCCCTTACCTCTTTTTAAAGTATGCTAATATTTAAAAATCCCCCTTGAGTACAGAATGAGCAACCTGTGGGTTTCTTTGATGTACCCCAAAGAAAGAAAAAATGAAAGAACTCTATCCTAAACTGGTGGCAAAGCCTACCACTAGCTTGTTGATCTGCTGTTATCAAAATTCCCCTCACATCACGGTGATCTAACGTGATAGGAATGCGACAGTAGTGAAAATATTTCACTGATTTTCTCATTCAAACCTCACAGGCCTTCTCACTGTCCCATTTCTTTTGGAGGTGCAGAACACCACAAATGACGTAATTATTGCAACCTGAATGGACTTCACCCCCTTTTAATGGAGGATAATAATAATAATAATAATAATAATAATAATAATAATAATAATAATAATAATAATAATAATAATAATAATAATAGTAGTAGTAGTAGTAGTAGTAAAGTTGGAAGGGGCCTTGGAGGTCATCTAGTCCAACCCCCTGCTCAGGCAGGAAACCCTATACCATTTCGGACAAATGGCTGTCCAGTTTCTTCTTAAAAACTTCCAGTGTTGGAGCATTCACTGCTTCTGGAGGCAGGTTGTTCCACTGGTTAATTGTTCTAACTGTCAGGAAGTTTCTCCATAGTTCTAGGTTTCTTCTCTCCTTGATTAGTTTCCACCCGTTGCTTCTTGTCCTGCCTTCAGGTGCTTTGGAAAATAGCTTGACTCCCTCTTCTTTTGTGGCAGCCCCTCAAATATTGGAAGACTGCTATCCTGTCACCCCTCGTCCTTCTCTTCATTAGACTAGACATACCCAATTCCAGCAACCGTTCCTTATATGCTTTAGCCTCCAGTCCTCTAATCATCTTTGTTGCTCTTCTCTGCACTCTTTCTAGAGTCTCAACATCTTTTTTACATCACGGTGACCAAAACTGGATGCAGTATTCCAAGTGTGGCCTTACCAAGGCATTGTAAAGTGGTATTAATACTTCACGTGATCTTGATTCTATCCCTCTGTTAATGCAGCCCAGCACCGAGTTGGCTTTTTTGGCAGCTGCAGCACACTGCTGGCTCATATTTAAGGGATTGTCCACCAGGACTCCAAGGTCCCTCTCACAGATCTTTGTTCATGTTTCATGATCTACTCATCTCTGACAAAACGGCAGGTACACACAGGTTTTCTCACCTGTTGGCAAATCACAAACTGGAATTCTTAGATTGGTGTTCTCAAAGATGGATTTTAGCAGCTGTCCTATATCTTCCAAACCCTGTTCAGATGATTTTGAAATCGCTCTCGGTCTCTCTCTGAGAACCATGAACTTTTCATAAACTACAGGTTAATTATCCCTGACTTTGGGCTACAGCAAATAAACCTGTACACTGTTACTTCCCGCAGACTGTCCGAGGGTTGAAAAATTACTCTCCGCAGAGGTAATTTTTCTCGAAGACACTGACCTTTTAATATTTTTCTTTACATTTGAACAACTGAAGACTACAAAAAGCACCCAGAAAATTTATTCAAGCCTTTAAAGCAGCATTAGGAAATTCAAATAGATGAACCAACCCACTTCGACACAAATTTCTTCTTGCAATGTATTTGCAAATGTTAAGACTACTATTTTTTTTTTCATTGGCTGGTAAATCCGTAGGGTTAAATAAAGCACTAAATACTAAAGAAATTTCTCTTTTGAACCCAATTTCATAGAGTGGGGAACTCATGGGAAACTTGGATAATGTTCAATGACAAAGATCTGAAGAAATTCACAATTCCCTCCCTATTTTTTGCCTTCAATGGCTGTTTCATAGGGAGCAGCTTGGCTGCCTGCCCAGAAGGTTAGAGCAGTGGGGTTTTTTTTTCCAGAGTCAGCAGTTGAAAGGTGAAATGTTGGCCATCTCTCTCTCTTTCTATCATCTCTCTCTATGATGTTGTTAGTTGCGAAGTCGTGTCCAACCCATTGTGACCCCATGGACAATGTTGCTCCAGGCCTTCCTGTCCTCTACCATCTTCTGGAGTCCATTTAAGCTCACGCCTACTGCTTCAGTGACTCCATCCAGCCACCTCCTTCTCTGTCGTCCCCTTCTTCTATTGCCCTCCATCTTTCCCAGCATTAGGATCTTCTCCAGTGAGTCCTTCCTTCTCATTAGGTGGCCAAAGTACTTGAGTTTCAGCTTCAGGATCTGGCCTTCTGAAGAGCAGTCAGGGTTGATCTCCTCTAGGACTGACCGGTTTGATCACCTTGCAGTCCAGGGGACTCGCACGGGTCTTCTCCAGCACCATAGTTCAAAGGCCTCAATTCTTTGGCGCTCAGCCTTTCTGATGGTCCAACTTTCACAGCCATACATTGCAACTGGGAAAACCATGGCCTTGACTATATGCACTTTTTTTGGCAGGGTGATGTCTCTGCTTTTTAGTATGCTGTCTAGATTTGCCATAGCTTTCCCCCCCAGGAGCAAGCGTCTTTTAATTTCTTGGCTGCAGTCCCCATCTGCGGTGATCTTGGAGCCCAGGAAGATAAAATCTGTCACTACCTCCATTTCTTTCCCATCTATTTGCCAGGAATTGAGAGGGCCGGATGCCATGATTTTGGTTTTCTTAGTGTTGAGTTTCAAGCCAACTTTTGCACTTTCCTTCTTCACCCGCATCAAGAGGCTCTTTAGTTCCTCTTCACTTTCTGCCATTAGAGTGGTATCATCTGCATATCTTAGGTTGTTGATATTTCTCCCGGTAATCTTAATTCCAACTTTTGATTCATCTAGCCCTGCCTTTCTCATGATGTGCTCTGCATGTAAGTTAAATAGGCAGGGCGACAGTATACAGCCTTGCCGGACTCCTTTCCCAATTTTGAACCAATCAGTGGTTCCGTGTCCAGTTCTCACTATTGCTTCTTGACCCGCATATAGGTTTCTCATCTCCCTCTATCATCTATCTGCCTATCATCCATCCATCCGTCTGTCTGTCCGTCCATCCGTCCATCCATCCATCCACCCACCCACCTATCTATCTACCTACCTACCTACCTATCTATCATGTATCTATCTGTCATCTCTCTCATCTCTTTCTCTCTCTATCTTTAAAACGGGGTAATTGATAAGGGTTCTGCCAAGTTTCCCTTTCCAGACCAAGGATTCTAAAATGGTGGTGATTGCTGCTTTTTTCCAGTACACAAAAGACATTCCCATGGAAGGGAAAGCAGGTGGCGTTTGTTCTCCTGGCAGGGGCACCTTGACCAGGTGATAGATGGAGTGACACTTTGCAAGCTCCGCCCTCTTCAAACATGCATGTGATGCCAACACCTGCACAAAAGCGAGAGGACCTGCATTGTAATATGCCATCTGACTTCTAGCTGATTTTGATCTCTCTCTCTCTCTCTCTCTCTCTCTCTCTCTCTCTCTCTCTCTCTCTCTCTCTCTCTCTCTCTCTCTCTCTCTCTCTCTCTCTCTCTCTCTCTCACACACACACACACACACACGCACCAAGATCAACATTTCCTGGCAGGACTGGAGGAGAAAAGGGGACTCCATCAATCCGGGATCACCTTAACTGAGAACCAAAGAGATCATTAGGCCATCACCCAGACAAGGTGGAGGTAGGGATTGAAATCTTGAGAAAGCATTTATTTTGAGCAAGTTTTCTACTGCTGTTCAAGTCTGGGTCTGATAATCAAATTGCAAAATATTCCATTAGGTTTTCCTGTGCTTTTACGATTGAGAAATCTTTCTTCACCCAGTCACTGATTATGTCCATCTACTGAATTTTGTTCACTGCAAAAATCCTTGCGATCCATGGAGTTCTAGTAGCAATTTCTTAAGTTTCTTCAGAAGGGTCCTGGTGAATGAAATCCAGTCATGATGTCATGCCTAAAGCTGTGTGGAAAGCATTCATGGGCTCATGGTAAGTAGCATCCATCAAAGGTCAGCTTTAGCAGTGGGGGCTGTATGTTTGGGAGCAAGCTCCTTTATCAGGTTCACAAACTCCCTTTTTTCAACACAAGCTCTGCAAACTTCTCCCCAGCTATCCAGGATCTTCTTCAGCTCAGCCGCTCTCATCTTGGATAGATCTACCGAAGTTAAATCAAGTTGTCTTTCTGTAAAAGCAGATAAGCCAAGTCAGATATCTACATCTATGTTTATATACCAAATCAACCTGCCATGATGACCCTAAAACAGGGGTAGGCAACCTCGGCTCTTTTATGACTCATGGACTTCAACTCCCAGAATTCCTGAGTCAGCATAGCTGACTCAGGAATTCTGGGAGTTGGAGTCCATGAGTCATAAAAGAGCCGAGGTTGCCTACCCCTGCCCTAAAACATACAAAAAACGATTGCTGGAATTGGGTATGTCTAATTTAATGAAAAGAAGGACTAGGGGTGACATGATAGCAGTGTTCCAATATTTGAGGGGCTGCCACAAAGAAGAGGGGGTCAACCCATTCTCCAAAGCACCCGAAGTCAGGACAAGAAGCAACGGATGGAAACTAATCAAGGAGAGAAGCAAGCTAGAACTAAGGGGAAAATTCCTGACAGTGAGAACAATTAATCAGTGGACTGGTTTGCCTTCAGAAGCTGTGGGTGCTCCAACACTGGAGGATTTGAGGAAGAGATTGGGCATTCATTTGTCAGAAATGGTATAGGGTCTCAGGCTTGAGCAGGGGGCTCGACTAGAAGACCTCCAAGGTCCCTTCTAACTTTATTATTCTGTTATTCTGAATGCTGCAGAGATAAGCAGTCCAATGTCCAGGGAATATCATAAGGCCTCATAGCAACAGAACCAGCTTCCATGGTGATTTCTCAAAATTTAAGGAATCCAAACTTCTCCCCCTTCCAGGGATGGTCCCATGCCATACCCAGGAACTGGAAGGAAGAGTGGGGATCATGAGCCTACAAATCCCTCCCTCCCAGAGGTCACCTAACCTGCAAACCTGAGGGGATGTGTGGAGGACATTCACTGAGGACACAGCAGAAACAAAAGGAATTGGAGGATGCTTGCGACATCTTTATGGTCAATTGGAAGATGCTGCACAGATCCTCTTTTTCTTACTTCGTTGGCACAGCTCCTCGTTCTTTTTATACATGTATCTTTTAGCATTATGGGGAAGGAGGTTTCCTAACCCCATTCTTTGACTAGTTCACATCTTCCTAAACATTTCTCTTTGGGCCATTCCATTTCTAAGTTTTGCATGCAGAAAGCTTCAAGGGATGTGGTGGCGTCTCCTAATATGGAAATAATTAATAACACCTGGCTGTACACACACACAGCCGCACAAATTGTTCTCATTCTCTTTTTCTTTTCTGAATGCAGTTTGGTTACCCTTCTTCGTGGGAAATGCCAAATCTGTGGAAAACTTTAGATCAACTCAAGCAGTCTTGGATTCCCATCTTAACATTCCTTTAGGTTTATATTTCTGGACTGAACATGTGGGCATGGGTGATATTTGGACCTAGGCTCAATTTAGAATTTTGCTAATACAATAAGTGGAACCACTAACATTTCTCTCTCTTTCTCACAGATTCACCTAAACACACACACACACACACACACACACACACACACACACACACACATACACACACATGCTTAAAAAGTATAAACCTAAAGTATCTTAAATGTATAATATACTTCTAAAGGAAAGACATACAGGTAGTCCTTGACTTACGACCACAATTGAGCCTAAAATTTGTTATTAAGTAAAACATTTGTTAAGTGAATTTTGCCCCACTTTATGACCTTTCTTGCCACCATTAAGTGAATCACTGCAGTTGTTAAAGTTAGTAACGTGGCTGTTAAGTGATTCTGGCTTCCCTGTTGATTTTGCTTGTCAGAAGGCCGCAAAAGGGGATCACGTGACCCCGGGACATGGCAAACCGTCATAAGTATGAGTCAGCAGCAAAGCGTTTGAATTTTGATCACGTGACCTTGGGGATGCTGCAACAGTCGTAAGTGTGAAAAATGGTCCTAAGTCTCTTTTTTCCCAGTACCGTTGTAACTTTGAAGGGCACAAAATGAACTGTTGTAAGTCGAGAACTAGCTGTACATGGCAGATGACGTTTGCCATGAGGTTGGAGACTGACAGCAGACAGAGAAATCTTCCAGTGATGTAGTTGTGGCATTGTTGTTTCTTTCACAATCGCAATTTTATAACGCCATCCTGGCGTCTTTGCAATCACGATGCACTTCTCCAGGAGTGTTTAATGGCTGACTAAGGAAGGAATGTTAGGAATGTCTCAGCCACGATCTGATACCAGACTTTTTCCACTTTTAGGATGTGTGGACTTCAATTCCCAGAATTCTGCTAGGCAGTATGGCTGGGGGGGGGGATTCTGGGAGTTGAAGCCCACTCAACTGAGGTTGAGGTGGCTGAGGTTGGGAAACACAACTGAGTCCGTCCAAAATTTCTGTTGCTAAGCGAGACCTTCTCTTATTCATGTGCCATAGTTATATCCATTGTTAAGTTGTAGTTGAATCACTGCAGTTGTTAAGTTAGCAACATGGTTGTTAAGTGAATCTGGCTTCCCCATTGACATGGCTTGTGAGGTCACAAAAGGGGATCACATGAACCTGGGATGCTGCAACCGTCATAAATATGAACCAGTTGCCAAGCATCCGAGTTTTGATCATGTGCAATGGTCGCAAGGGTGAAAAATGGTCATAAGTCACATTTTTCAGTGCTGAGGTAACTTTGAGCAGTCACTAAATAAATGATTGTAAATCAAAAATTACCTGCACAAGCCAGCTTCCTGTAAGCTCTCAGAGCAGAGATGTAAGACAGAACTTTACGAAATGCCCAATATATAAGATTTTACATAGCTTCTATTCCCAGCATCTTAGAATAATATCTGGCTATTTGCTTAAGGACCTCTGGGTCCAATCGCAGTCATGGGTGAGGATGCCAGTGAAAAGGAGATCTGGTGATGTGGTACATGATGGGTTGCTGGTGATAAGAAAGCCATAACTACTGTCATGGCCAGTGAAAAAGTTTTATGATGTTTAATGCCTCTGATTATCTTTCTGAAGTAGCAGATCTTCTGTTTATGCATCTTCTGTTTAAGCCATCTCGGGGATTTTTCTCCCAATCAATGGGCAATTTTAAATATAGAGTATGGAAGGGAAGGGTCATTAGCAATTAACATTTTTTGTCTCCATAGGACAAAAAAATACATTGAAGGCGGGAACCTGGTGGAATCTGAGGGAGGGCTAGCAATCTAGGTTTTGTGGTTTGTTTAAGGATTTTGAAATTGGAGTCAAGGTATAAAAGGGTGGGGATGTTCAAAAGAGGAACTGCTGTAAATAATTACTGTCACTTATTAATAGTTCAACCATCTTCGTGTTGTTTAGATTATCCTATTCAGCTTCAGCCAGACAGAGTTATCTTTAAAGGATAATAGTTTTAGTGCGACGCACATAAAAAAAAAACAGATGGAGCATCGATCAGACAGTTGAAGCCACCATGTTGACCTCTTTGAGGACATCCCGGTCATCACAGACTGGTTGGCTGTTCTCTAGGCTCATGTCTGAAAGGCCAAACCTTGGTTACATGATGGTTCTCTGTGTTACTCACAGATGTAATTATGCACATAAAAGCCCATGTCTTTAGGAAACCAGGATTCTCTCTAGCTTTCCAAGGAGGAGTAACACATAACAAATACTGGGCCAAGTGTTAAAAGGTTCTTAATCGTATGCTTAACTGCCTACATTGGCTGATTTCATACCGTATTTGAGTTCACAAATCTGAATATCTCCTTTCTTCAGTTTCTCACAGATTTTTGCCACAGGGATGTGAACGCTCATCGGACGACTGACTTCAGTGAGGATCTTGGTAGCTGCATCCTCTGTAGCCCCAAGATAATAGCACTACGAAAAATAATACAAATGTGAAATTAATGCTTAGGGACCAGGGCATCCTTTTTCTCTTCCATGAACAAAATTATCTCAAGGACTTAGAACAGTGGTGGCGAACCTATGGCAATACGTGCCAGAGGCGGCACTCGGAGGCCTCTGTGGGCACGTGCGCCATGCCCGGAGATGGCAACTGTCCTCTTCAACCAGCTGCCTGCTAACTTGCCGAGGTTCCACATGGCCGGATGCATCCCAGCACCCATGCGCTTGCTGGCCTTTGTGTGCGGGGGCCTTTGTGTCCCTGGCCCCTGCCTCGCCTTGCCCTGTGACATGGCACCCCCGCCCTGCCTCGCCTCACCCTGCAGAACCAGCCACCTGCCCACTGCCCCACCCGCCAGAGATCACTGAATCTCCCCCAGCCCTGCCCGGCCCCCACAGGCGTCCCTCCCCAGGAGCAAGATCGAGCTGGCCATGCCCACCCTGGCCACGCCCACCCGTCTGCCATGACCACTGTAGCCACGCCCACCTGGCGGGCCACACCCACCTGGCACCCGGCAATACATAAGTGGGTTTTGGGCTGAAGTTTGGGCACTCGGTGTCTAAAAGGTTTGCCATCACTGACTTAGAAGCTACACAGTGAGAGGTCTCCTTAGTGGTTGGAAAGGGCAGGGCTTTTCAACCTTTTAACCCATTGTACCACTTTTAGGATATGGCAGCATCCGAGTACCACCAGTCGCCTAGCAAGGTGTCAAAAACTTGATGACCTCCCCCCCCCCAAAAAGGAAAAAAGTGATAAAGTACAGGTAGTCCTCGACTTACAACAGTTTGCTTAGTGACTGTTCGAAGTTACAATGGCACTGAAAAAAGTAACCCCCAAGCCACAGCCGAGCAAGACACCTACCTGCCCGCCCGGAGGCACTCTTCCTCTTGTCCGAGGTTTTCATTGTTGTGAGCATTTCTGTTGAGGATTGGCAGCGGGGGTGGGGTGGGGGGGTGTTTGGTTTTTATCCCCCCCGTCTGCTGGGTGGTTGCAGCAGGTTTTGGTCACTTCGCATGACTCTGGGACACTGTGACCGTCATAAATGTGAATCAGTTGTCAAGCATCTGAATGTAAATCACAAGACCCTGGAGATGCTGCAACATTCCAGCTGATCGGCGCTTCTTCTGGGCTCAGCAGAAGCGTCAGGATCAGTGCTGCTTTCCAGCTGATTGGCGCTTCTTCAGGGCTCAGCAGAAGCGCCAGGATCAGCGCCGAGCTCCAGCTGGAGCCTGGCGCTGATCCTGGCACTTCCACTGAGCCCTGACAGCCCCGAAGAAGTGCCGATCAGCTGGAAAGCGGCACTGATCCTGGCGCTTCCACTGAGCCCTGACAGCCCTGCAGCTCCAGCCATCTCTCGCTCAGGCTTGTGCGATGCTGCCACCGGTTCAGCTCATTCCCCTCTTCCGCTACCACTTTCTTAGGATGGTCGCGTACCACCTGCCAGGTGCCAATGTATCACAGGTGGTACCCGTACCACTGGTTGAAAAGCCCTGGGATAGGGGACAACTAAAGAAAACCAGAAAGACCAAGGGTATCAGTTCAAACAAAAGTATTGGGTAAAAATCCCACATACACTCTGGAAGAAGGAAATTGCAAATCAGGTCTGTAGTATTGTCAAGAAAACTGCATGGCTGTGTGGGTGAATTTACTAGGAGTCAAAATGGATTTGAAGGACATAAATTTTTTATCTGCAGTAAAACTGTGTGGATGGAAAGAAGAAGAGAGAAAGTCATACCAAGCGGTTTTCTTTGCCTTTTGTATTCATGCAAGTCTTAATTAATTCCTCCTCTATAGAAGCCGTGGAGAAATCAGAATGTTTTTCTTTCAAAGAACTGTAAAATCTTTCCAAGAAATCTTGACACACTGTAAAAAGAACAAGAAGTGAAAAAGTAAATACACATAATGCACAAAATGTTTAAGTTAAAAAAATGGATCACCAAAACCTTCCAACTGACTTGAAGGATGGAATTCATTAGTATTTCATAAAATTAAAAACACATACAAATAAAGTTTGGAACTCATTTTATGTTGAAATTATTCTCCCTCCCTCCCTTCTTTCCTTCAATTTTAAGTGTCTAATGTATAGACGTTATCATATGATAATGCAGTTTTATCATACCCCATAAATATAGGCCGTTCCCCTCATTTGTTAAATGAGTTTTGCCCCACTTTATGACAACTCTTGCCACAGTTATTAAGTGAATCACTACAGTTGTTAAGTTAGTAACACGGTTGTTAAATGAATCTGGCTTCCCCCTTGACTTTCCTTGTCAGAAGTTTGCAGAAGGGGATCACATGACCCCCGGGAAACTGCGATTGTCATAAATATGAGTCAGTTGCCAAGCATCCAAATTTTGATCACGTGACCATGGGGATGCTGCAAGAGTCGTAAGTGTGAAAAACGGTCACTTTTTCCAGTGCCGTTGTAACTTTGAATGGTCACTAAATGAACTGTTGTAAGTCAAGGACTACTTGTATTCAAATATTAAACAGCAAGGGCTCCTTTAAAATGCATTGGGGCCTATGTCTACGGAGATTTTAAGTCAGGGGCCTTCAAACTTGGCCCTTTTATGACTTGTGGACTTCAACTCCCAGAATTCCTCAGCCAGCGTGCCTGGCTGAGGAATTCTGGAAGTCGAAGTCCACAAGTCATAAAAGGGTCGAGTTTGAAGACCCTTGTTCTAAGTCATCCAGGTCCTGGTTGTCCCAAACGTGCTTTCCAAAAGGCAACTGGACTTTGTTTTTTCTTAAAGAGGTTTCGCTTCTCATCCAAGGAGCTTCTTCAGTTGGGGTAAAGAAAATACTTAGTCATTTAGTGAACGTTTCCAAGGAAAAATAACATGGGGTCTCCATGTGGTATTCTTTGGCGCAATATTAGAACTGAGAGAAAGTGGAAGGTGCCTTTTTTCACGAGGCAACTGGATTTGAAAAAAGCACCTTTGAGACAACCATGACCTGGATGACTGAGAATCTCCATACACATGGAACAGTTTCAGAAGATCTGTGGATGAATCTAAACAGACATTTCCTGCAAAAAAAACCTCTGGTAGGGATGGTGGGAATAAGGCAAGGCCATCAGCTGTAGCTGGGACTGATACAGCAGTGAGAAAGAAACAGCTGGGAACATGCAGAAATAGTAGCGAAGCCAGCAGGATGAGTGCCCGCCTTCCCTTATTCTCATTCTCCATGTACCATACATATGTCCGTCATTATTTGTTTACCCATCCCACAAAGTGAGATCAAGCCCACACGTATGCTGCACAATATTTTTAGATACTGTATTTAGAGATTTGAATTTCCAGCAATCACGAGTCTGAAGTCTGATCCTGCATTCCAAATAGTTTTATATTCAGAAAAGGATATACATTTTGGAGGCATGGCTGTAATTTTGCCGTAATCAAAACCAGCAATTCCCTGACTCCTGATAATGATAAAACAGAACTTTTCCTACACATGATAATAATGTTTGCAGCAAGTCTATCCTTATTCTAGTAATGTTGTGATGGCTTTATGCCACCTACAGGGAACACAAATGTATTCCAAAGTTCAGGATGCAACAGGGAGACCACACTTAAGATATCCCTTAACTTCGGTTGAGGATGTCCAGTTAACTGCCCTCGGCTTACTTGCTTCCTCTTTCCTGTAATTAAGGTAAGCTAACTTAATATTTATCTGAATTGAAGCATCATTTTCATGAGTATAGATAGAGTTCATCTGGGCCCAATGTTTCTGTTGCTAAGCAATACAGTTAAATGAGTTTTGCCCCATTTTAAGACCCTTCTTAATAATAATAATAATGATAAAGTTGGAAGGGACCTTGGAGGTCATTTAGTCCAACCCCCTGCTCAGGCAGGAAACCCTATACCATTTTGGACAAATGGCTGTCAGGTTTCTTTTTAAAAACTTCCAGTGTTGGAGCATTCACCGCTTCTGGAGGCAGGTTGTTCCACTGGTTAATTGTTCTAACTGTCAGGAAGTTTCTCCTTAGTTCTAGGTTGCTTCTCTCTTTGGTTAGTTTCCACCCGTTGCTTCTTGTCCTGCCTTCAGGCGCTTTGGAGAATAGCTTGACTCCCTCTTCTTTGTGGCAACTCCTGAGATATTGGAACACTGCTATCATGTCCCCCCTCGTCCTTCTCTTCGTTAAACTAGACATACCCAATTCCCTAACCCTAACCCCTAACCCTAACCGTTCCTTATATGTTTTAGCCTCCAGTCCCCTAATCATCTTTGTTGCTCTTCTCTGTACTCTTTCTAGAGTCTCAACATCTTTTTTACATCGTGGAGACCAAAACTGGATGCAGTATTCCAAGTGTGGCCTTACCAAGGCATTGTAAAGTGGTATTAATACTTCACGTGATCTTGATTCTATCCCTCTGTTAATGCAGCCTAGCACTGTGTTGGCCTTTTTGGCAGCTGCAGCACACTGCTGGCTCATATTTAAGTGATTGTCCACTAGGACTCCGAGATCCCTCTCACAGTTAC